TTAGGGACGCGATGCTATTTAAGTGATGGCGTTGGTCATAAAAGAAATAAACATCTGCTTTCAGTTTTTTATTGATATTAAAAATACACACACACGCTATATATATATATATATATATATATATATATATATAGTCTTAAGATGTGGTATATTTATGGGATAAAGTGCTCATTATCAGAGATAGAACGTGTGTAAATATAAAAGTGAACATAGAAGTCAACACTTAGAGACAGGCTGTTTCATGCTAGACGCATGTGGCCTGACGGTTGCGTTTAGCATGAAACAGACTGTCGCCTCAAAGTGTTGTCACTTATTATTTTTTAAGACATTTTTTTTTATGTTTAAAAAAAAAATTCTTAAAAAAAATAAAAAAATAATCGTCGGACTTTGTCCATTTCATAATGTATGACGTCATTTGTTTACATTTGGATACGCATTGAGCAGATATGAATGAATGAGAGAAAATGATGGAGAATTGTGTTTAAAAACAGCAAAATCGACCTTGCTAACCGAACGCTCCTCTGTGGCCCAATCGGTTAAAGCACGTCAGGCTATATGACGGTTCCGTATAGGATACAGGCTCGATTCCGGTCGGAGGATGCATATTTTCTATGAAAATTTCTCGGACATTCAGGCCGGTAAATGTTCATACTGTTTATTATAAAACACTGCATTTACTTAAATATTTGTATCTATAAAGAGAACGTATAAACATAAAAAATGTCATATATATGTATACACATGCAGAAATAAAGATCTGTACCCACAGAAGAAGAAAATAGACTTGAATAGAGAGGATGTCATTTTGACCATTTCGACGAACACTCCATCAAAATATGAACATTGGCACATAGAACAAAATTATCAATGACATATTTGTAAATAGCGAATGAGGAGGGAAAATTGGAACTATATATATATATATATATATGCTTTTAGAATTCTTCCAAATTCATCCACTTCTGTTAAAGCACCTGATACATCTCAAAAACGGGAGACAATAACCAAGTAAGAGTTACAGAATTGTTTCCCTTTAATTTTCACGAGTTTTCTCCCTTGTAAATTAGAATCATTTTTTTCCCCGCACAAAATATTCTCTACAGCAGGGGCCTCCCAACGTTTGAAGCCATCGACTCCTCCATGAAATCCCTGATCCCTCATCGACCTGCAGGCATGTACAAAAATATCACTAATACTTATTTCTTTATGTAAGGGTAGAAATGTTTTTGCTCTTTTCATTTATTGTTGTTTCTCGATAAGATTCATTTTAGTTTTAGGTTTCATTATTTCTTTTTCAATTTTAACCTTTCTTCCTATGCAAGACGTGTTTGTTCGAATAATAATAATAATAATAATAATAATAATAATAATAATAACGAGAAAAAATCATGATTAATGTAGGTAATATTAAACACATTAAGACTAAATGAATATCCCTTTTTATTGAACTGTTAATATGAGGAAGACGTGTTTGATGATCAATAACAAGGGTATTGGTATTTGGTTGAATATGTGTGAGTTGCCCTAAATTACCAGAATATATTTATTGACAATCTTTTGATCTCCAGGCATTTACAGAACCCGACCTTTTGATTTCGGCTATTTCTTGAGCTGTAGTGAACAAAACAAGATCTAGATTTAAAATTCAAATGTTTAGCACTGACTCGTTGATTTTGTTAGAAATTAAAAAGACTCGAATTTACAAATTTTGCTTAACACACACGCAAAAGCGAATCCAAAACAAAACTCGTGAAATTTCACACCTTGATGCGAAATGTTTTTCGGTCAATAGAAAACTAGGAAATATTTAAAAACAAAATTCAAATAATCTTCAATTCTCAGAAACACATTCTTTTACGGACCTTTTTGCAAGCCGACGCGAAGTTTGTTTGTCGTCCAATGGAAAGGCCCGAATCATATCCGGGAGTGAATTCCCAAATCACCTTTTCAAGCCCCACAAACAAAATAAAAGACGGGCAAGTTCGCCTGTCATCAGAGAGAAGGAGACGAGCGTATTAACACGTCCCTTGACAAACGTCAAGCGATTGCTTTTATTATCTCTACCTTTCTCCCTCACCTCTTTTATACTTGATAAACGAGCGGAACATTTTAAGACTGAGCAATTACTTCAAAGACATTTCTACTGTACGATAACGCTCATACATACATACATACATATATTCCTACCTACCTAGACATAAACTCATTCTTGCAAGGACTACTACGAACATTTTGACGACCTTGTATCAACCAAAATACATTAATTTTATTTGTAGAGACCTTAATTGATTTATATGTATATAAATTTATTGTTTCACTTTACAATTTGATTTTCTTGTTTTATACCCCTCTTATGGTGGGCTGTCTAACTAACAAGGCCAAATCAAACTAATCTGTTTCAACACTCATACACTGATAACCCACTAGAGAGCCACTGGATAGTACCATTAACCTCTAGCGATTGATATCATCCACACTGTGAATCCTTTCTTTATAGCATTTAAGTTAATGCAATTTTTGAATCAATAAAATTCTATTTATATTAAGAAATAAACGTAATTATTCATAACCACTGATCTACGATCGTCAAAAATCTAAATGCAATGTTGTCAATCGACATAATTCCTTGAATCCTGGTAATATTCTCTCTCTTTCCTGAAAGTTTTCTCAGCTTCTTTCACTCTTAGTCTCGGTGGCTTTATCGCCTTGGTTGGGGTGAAAATATAAAAACGTGAAAAAGCTCTTTTCAGAAACATCAAATTATGCAATTCTCAACAAAACTCTCTAGCGGTAGACAAATATTTTATTGTATCGGTTTTATTGTATTTAGGTATCCTTGAGCCTGCCAAGCCGCAGAGAAAGTGGCATCTATGCCAGTGGTCAGGGTTCGATCCAAAGAGTCAGAAGTTTGAAGATTGATTAACAGGCTTTTTCCTTTTTGTAAGATGCATAGTTTTCGTTTTTTCATATTTTGTTACTCTGCTTTGTAAACTACGTTTTGTAAATATTGCCATATTTGGTAGCATATAAACCCCCCTCATTACGCCCCCCCTCCCTTACTGAATAGCTCAAATATATTTTCCCGGCTTGTTATACGAAGTTGACCTACTTTGTCGTCTAATGTGTACCCAGGCTCCAGACACTACCATTGTTTGTGCATGACCTAACGTTATAATATTGTCGTATTACATACAAATAAAGAGCGAGATATTTTATGCCATCAAACACAGTAGTTAAGACGTTTATAAACATATTAAGAGTATATTTTCAATTTTCTTACAGTTGGAAAACAGACACAAATTCAAAATTTGCTATTTCGATATCTACAGTTCTGTTTTTTAACTTGCGAGAATCAAGCTTTTTATTATCATTTTGATTTTAAAAGTTTTCAATCATGTTTTGATATTTGATATCTTGTATTTCCACATGTCATCAAAACACGTTTTCATCATATGTAAAAATATATTACCGTCTTTGACGTCATATAAGGCGCATTTTTTTTTCTAAAAATATCTTTTTAAATTCCCCTGCGTCATATATGCCATATGTAGGTTTAAAATTCGGGATAGTCGGCTGAAATTAGCTACCTGGCAACTCCTAGACTTTAGAGTAATTTTTATATACCTATTATCATTATTTAAAAGGCTATTATGCAGATTAAAATTGTTATCATTGATAATATTCATTATATTAATTTCATCACGTTTAATATTAGTACTTTGTTTCACTAAAATTATATGCAATAAATTCAAATTATATATTTGTAAAATATATTTGTTTCATTAATATTTTTTCTTGCGAAGTAGAATTTTTATATCCTAATTATTCTACTAAGACGTTTGCAAGACGCAGGTTGTACAGATCATATAAAGGATATAATAAAGTTTTTAGACTTATGTTCTTTTTTTCGTATTATTTCTCGTTTAATTGTAATCATGGCGTGTTTAACCAAAATAATACCTCATAAATATAGCCTAGGCTGTACTATTTACTAATAATTTTACTAATTAAAATTTTTTTCTTGATTTGCCCTGCTAAAATTGGGGTGCGTCTTATACACCCGTGCCTTTTATGTGCCGTTAAATATGGTATATCACGGCGCTTGAAGCGACTCACGCCTTACAAAATTTAGAGACAAAAGAATTACATCTAGCAATTTAGAACCAATCAAAAAGTAATTTTTCAATCAAAAAGCTGTGTTTGTGAGCCTATTTGATACAATAAATAGAGACAACAAAATAATTTTTTCCACACAATACGAAACGACCATAACACTCTGTACATAAATTTCTTCACTTCAACGCAGTCACAAAAAATTCTTCTTCGAGGCTACTCATTTCAATTAACAGTTACTCACTACAAGAAAGAACAATTTGCATTACAAGTAACGCCTTTGATACATTCAGGCAAAGAACTGTTAACTTTTTCTTCTATAACGCACTCTCTACAAGATGAGCCTTTTACAAAGTCTCTCAGTTACACTCATTTCACTGTAGAATATTTTTCAAACTTTCAGCATTCCAAAGTAATTTTCCACAATCTTTAAACTTCTCCAATATTCCAGTAATAACTTCTTATTTGCAAAACAGAAGTTGAAATGTTTCATTTTGACTCTGTTTCTCCTAATGTCTAGACCCTTGACTTGCTTTATTGGACTTTCTTCTTTTGTTTACTAAATAGTAAACAACGGTCGTTGGTTCGTTCGCAACACGGTTACCAGTGTATTTTATAAGTAAATGGTTCACATACCGCTACAGTCTGAAACTTATACCTGTTTTTTGTGCAGTTTGGAAAGAATAACACATTTTAAAATTTAGAACAACTCCTTTATTTTTTTTAAAAATATCTCAGACATCTAAAGTTTGAAATTGTCTTATGATTTTTCTCTCCATTTGAAACACTGGCATATCATTATCCTATAGAGCCCAGGAGGAAATCTTGGGAGAAGTACGGCTACAAAATTGTGAGTCTATCGGCATCAATAGATTATAATTAGAAACAGCAAAGTGAAGGAGAAAAGAAACAGCAAAGTGAAAGAGAAAAGAAACAGCAAAATGAAAGGGAAAATGGAAAGGAAGTGCCAAGTGAAAGAGAAAATAGAAAGGAACAGCCAAGTGAAAGGGAAAGTAAAATGAAACGGCCAAGTGAAAGTGAAAGTGGAAAGAAACAGTTAAGTGTGATATGTTCCTCAATACTTAAATTAAAATCAGACGTATTATCAATTTAACAAGAGACACGCTTTTTTATGTTTCCTCTTTCTTTCTTCGTTCTTCTCTTACTTTATTTCTTGTCTAGACTGAGAGGTGGCGGGATAGAATTTGGGTCGCATAACGACCAGCCAGTTTAACCTCCTAATCGAATATGTAAAAGTCGGTCGCCCAAATTCACGTATGATTCTTGAAATATATTTTCAGTTTTCAGAAAATCTCTATGTTGAGTCGCAAATAAATTGACTCCCATAGTGCTTTCATTAGAAATGTGCCTACGGACTTATTCAATTACCAGATATGTAACTGATAAGAAAATATTATTCCTGAAAAAATCTACCCAGTCTTATCTTGGACTGATTCGATTACTAGATGTGTACCGAATAAGAAAATTTTATTCCTGAAGAAGTTTTTCCACTCTTATCTTGGATTTATTTCGATTACTAGATGTGAAACGAAATAGAAGTACCATTCCGGAATCTTCTAGTTTATATTGCAGAAGGAATAATTACCGATTTTCATTCGGACATTCTAAAGAACCTCTAGCTGTTTGCTGTTATGGACACTTCAACTTACGAACTCATGATTCATGGATAATCGGAGTGATATCCAGTATCAGATAAGCACCTCGTTAATCTTACATCTGCTATCTTGCATTCTCTTCCCATTTAATTGTTTTGTTATATAAAATTGTTTTAAAAATTGTCTGGTGAGTTTCTATCTGAGCGATCCCACCTTTATTTTAAAATCTGATTTTCACATCCATATGTTGCTAGTTGGTAACATATAAGACACGTGAAAATGTAAGTGGAAAGAAAGTGCAAAGTGAAAGGGAGAATAGAAAGTGAAAAGAAACAGTTAAGTGAAAGGAAAAGTAGAAAGAAACAGCTAAATGAAAAGGAAAGTGCAAAGAAACAGCCAAGTGAAAGTGAAAGTAAAAGTAAAATGAAGCAGCCAAGTGAAATGGAAAGTAGAAAGAAACAGCAAATTGAAAGGGAACGTGGAAAGAAACAGACAAGTGAAAGGGAAAGTAAAATGAAACATCCAAGTGAAAGTGTAAAAACACAGCCAAGTGAAATGGAAAGTGTAAAGAAACAGCCAAAATGAAAGTGAAAGTGGAAAGAAACCTATATGAATATGGAATATGAAGAAAATTATGTTCGGATTAATTGGAATAATTGACTCACGTCCAAATGACCCTTGTAAAGTAATTAGATATTATGAAAAGAATTCATACAACAGCAAGTGTTGATGTCAAAAGAAGACTTCGGAAGAATTTTGCCACTTCATTACCCGCGACGACTAGCAAATACTTTGGGTGTGAAGTACGCAGAATCTCTTATCATAGCTTCCAAGACTACATACACCAGCAATAATTAAAGGAAAAGAAAATAATAACCTCAGATAAGCAAGAAAGAAATAAAGAGTTGAGATTGTAAGCTCATTCTGCTTCTTATAAACGTTATGTTTATTGGGTACATTCGCTTAAGGAGACATATATATGTTATTTCTTAAACTGTGAAATTAACATCTACCGTACTCTCTTAATAAGGAAAACGTGTTTCTCGACAGGAAACGAAGTTATTTATTAATATTACTAATATTGCGATAAATTAGTGTGTTACATTCTTTTTTTTAAGTAGATGTTATTGTGTCTCTGATGTTTTATCAGGAAACGTTTTAATTAGTTCTATATTTTCTGGGATATTGTGTTCATTTTTATTATTATTAACATATAGTGGCGTGGGACTTCAGGGGTTAAAATGAACATATGATTTACCCACGCCAAGAAGATTAATAAATGATGGTAATGACGAGGAAACATACGGGTAAATTTAGCAAAATAAAATAAGGATTTTATTCACGAATTTATACACTTGGCAGTAACTCGTTTCAAGTAAATAAATTGGAAGTTTTAAAGTCTTTAGGTTTAACCAATTGTCATAAACAGGAAATGTTCACACAAAAAATTAACTGATCTGACACAAAATAATTTAAAAAAAAAATGTTTAAGACAAAGGTAAGATAGTTCATTTTTCGCCAAAGGGATATATAGTTTGCATACGTTCAAGAGTAGACGAAGAAAGTTTGAAATATTTAACTTTCTTGAATTATCGAAAGAAAATTCTTTTAAGTGCCGCAAGATGGTTAGAGGCCGATTATATAATTGGCGCGCAATTTTACACTGGCGAGTACTTCAACGCTGGTCACAAGGAACTGAAACGAAACTTTTCATATTACTTCAGACACTTCTCGTTAATTTAATTTTTCTCCCCATATTATATAAAAAAAAGAATTTCGCCTAGGCACGCTATTTCCTTTCCTTCTTCTTGGGATACTGGCCAATTTTTGTGAAGACAAGGTTTTCATTGGTCCCAAAACAATTTCACATACGCTCGCAAATTTCTTTCTTTCTTCTTGCTCAGTCCACCGGTTAATTCCTGTGAAGGGCAAAAATCTCATATAGTCCAGCGATTTTTTCCTTCTTCGTACGCACTACAAACACAACGTTTCGGCCGATACAATCTCCAGTCTTTCTCACGTGTGTGTGGTACCCGCTTGTAAAGTATAAGCCTTTTGAACACATATCATCACAAGGCTCTAAAAGCTTAGCATGACAAGAATGATTAAATTCTCGTCTCACCTGTTCTTTTGTTTTCGTTAATATTAAACGAGAATTTAACACACATATTCACGTTTTTTTTTGTGCTGATCTCCTCCAACTGAAAGATAAAAAAAAATAGTCGTAATATTAAATGAGACGAGAGAAGTTATCCGATTTTTCTCCTACGTTTTCAAAGATTTTATTACAATGAAACTATGAGAGATATGACGATAAACAAAATCATTGTCAATTCGATTTTTCTTGTATTTGAAACCTTTCAAATTATTCTTTCATTTTTTTTATGTATTTAATAGCAATTATAGCATTCATTTTTCTATGTGAAAACAATCATGACGATGCTATCGGTATGAAAACAACGATCATCGACAAAAATATTTATATTAATATGAGTCACTGACGTCATCGGAACAACAGAAATTGTGTTAGTTGCAAACAGATTCTGGTGTGAATGATAATGTTTAGAACTTTTCATTTTCACGTGTTTTAATTAGGTCAAAATAATAAGCACTAAATTTAGGTCATAAGAAGAAATTTAAAAGGATTTCATTTTTTTAATGCATTGAAAAATACCAATTAGCACTATTAGCTAAAAGCAATTACAAAAAGTTATATGTTACTTATTCATTTTTAAAAAGCGACACAAATCAATAGAACGACAAGACGCTTTATAAAGTCCCTTCAAATCCGGATTTTGAGGAAGGTGGGATCCCAAAGAAATACATTTATAGAGGGCATAGTTTATGATTAATGTCTTGCTAGGGAATTTGGAGACTTTTTATATAAATGTAGGCATTTTCTTTGACATTTAAGCTTTTAAGCACAAGAATTGACAAAAGAGTCAACGAAAAAAATCAGATTTACTACATAATCAATAAAAAAATAAACTCAAAAAATGAAACGTATAGTATCTTAGATTAGATGAAAAACCAAAAGAGAAATATAATTTTTTTAATGTTTAATCTATGATTACTTGGGATTATTTATTCATTTTTATTTTAAAATAGTTATCTAGATATTTAAAAAGTAAAAAATCTGTCAAGCGGGATGAGGTGGTGAAGTAAAAGGACCTCCTGGGCGCCACGCCGAATTGGCGCCTATAAAATGATTGACGGGTAACAAGAAAATATAAACACATAAATCTATTTGGAGTTTCATTTTCTTTTCTTTTTTTTTTTAAAGTTCTCTGTTCTATTTTGCTTTTCGAGTAAAAAAAAAAAAAAAATTCCTAAACACCTGCCAAGATATGGAATAACATTCCTATGAATTCATTTTCAAAATTTACGAAGAAAAAGCGTAAATTTAAGTTTAATTTTATTTTTTACAAATATTTACTCTATATGAGGCCGAAGAGCCACTCGAAGTAGAGGGTTACTGAAGGGGGCTGTTATATGAGCGATATGAGTAAGACGTAAGAAATGTAGTTCATGGGAGAGATAACAGTTAAAACTAGATTTGAGCAGGTTTAGATTGTAGTGGTCGAGAAAGATTTTAGAAGCATTCAAATAAGATTTTACGTGTGAGGAGGACAAAAGATAAACAGAAAGCAAAAAAAGAGAACAGAAGACAAAATCTTAATCGATGGATATTCTTTATAACGAGGCTCCAATTGAGTTGAAGCAGCAGATTTAATTGTGGCTATATATGATATTATTAATGGTATCTTCATTTAAAACTGCTTCTTGCTTTGTAAGCTCGATAGCTTTCTTACTTATCAAATTAAATTATACCATGGCCCACCGCAATATTTCATCAGAACTTCAGATCTTATAGAATACGCTACTATTTTGAAATAAGTTTTGATATTACTTTTTCTTTAATATTATTAAGTATAAAGTAAATATATAATTTTATTTATTATTCAGGTCTTTCCATTAGATATACAATTAAAAGTGATCGACCAGTAATTCAATGACATACTGAAAGGCGAACAAAGAGGTAAGTTGGCTAATGTTTACGAATGTCGCGAAGATGAAAAATACGTCTTCATATCATATACCTGGCATTTGGTACAACATATTTATAACAGAAGACATTTTCAAAGATGAACCATCAACATTTACGGTCAATTTTGAAGAAAGGATGCACACATTATAATCTAAAGTTTGACTGACGTGAGAAAACATTTTCAAAGATGGACCGTCAACATTTACGGCCAATTTTCATGAAAGGAAGCACGCATTATAATCTACAGTTTGAATGATGTGAGAAGACATTTGCGGCCAATTTTGATGAAAGGAAGTACACTTTCACTGATGTGAGAAGATATTTTCAAAGATGAACCATCGATATTTGCGGCGAATTTTGATGAAAGGAAGCACACATTATAATCTACAGTTTACTGATGTGAGAAGACATTTTCAAAGATAAACCATCAACATTTGTGGCCAATTTTGATGAAAGGAAGGATACATTATAATCTACAGTTTGACTGATGTGAGAAGGCATTTTTAAACATGAACCATCAACATTTCAGGTCAATTTTGATGAAAGGATGCACACTTTCACTTAAGTTCTCCACTGCCTTAACTGGGTAATGAATCCACTCTTTGTCACTGGATCTAACCAACGCCTTTATCCACTGTGCCACGTGTCCTTGAGTGTGAGTTCAATACCCGCTTAAAGCAGTGGAGAACTTAGAGAGGGGAATTAACAGGAGATAACTGATAACTGATATCCATTAAACATGGCACGTGGAACTAGAACAGTCTACTCCAGTGAGCGAAATAAAGGGTTCAGTTCGGCCGAAACGCTGTAATAAATATGGCGACAAAGATGAGGACAATAGTCCGAATAGTGTAAATAATGAACATTTTTCATTTAGAATCATTCAAAAAGTATCCTATTATTTTGACCAAAGTTCCTGGTATTTTTGATAATGTACAGTTGTTAATGATTTTAAATTGTTCTAATCTATGTAACACATATAAAAATGCGTGGTCACAATAAACGGTTGCTTCTACATTCGGTAATTGGGCCAGAGTGCAAAGAGACGTGAATTCATTTTAAAGCTATTAGTAATAAACAGAAGCACACAGTCTTAACCGGATTTTAAATTGGATTTGTTTTTCTTCGCTAATACGCCACCGCGCTACACGGTGTGCAGATATCCACTGCACAGTGTATGCAAATACACGCTACACGATGAGAAGCTAGGATCTGCACACCAGTCAAGTCGAAATTTAATATATATATACTCATCTCATTCAATCTTAGTCGCTTTGCACTTAATCCAATCGACTTATTTTCAGTTCAGTTCTTTTCCATTTATCATTTCATTTCAGTTTGACCAGATATGTTGACTTTTATGCAACCATCGTTTTTTTTTTTTTTAACGAATTAATTAACTTCACATTGGGACAAATTTTCTTTGGTTCTGTGATGGCGGAATTATTTAGAGTTCGGTAAAATGATAATTCAGAAAAAAAAAAAAAGAAAGAAAGAACAATTTATTCTTAAGCTGATGAAGGCCTGCAAGGCTGATGAAAAAAAAATTTTTCCATAAAGACATCGATAACAATCGAGCGATCATCGATAGATTGATATTGATCAGATCTAAATAATTTGATCTCGTCTAAATTAGGGCAGCAAAACAAAAATCTATGAAAATGGAGTCTTCGTTAAACCAAGTTTACGGCAAGGCAGGTGTTAAAGGTACAACTTTTACTATGTATGCAATATCTATCCATTTATCTATCTACCTATTTATAAATCTATCTCATTCTGTTCATATCTATCTATCTATCTATCTATCTATCTATCTATCTATCTATCTATCTCATTCTGTTCATTATCTATCTATCTATCTATCTATCTATCTATCTATCTATCTATCTGCACCCGCGTCGTGTTCAATGTTAATTTTATATAGAAGAATAATTAACCTCCACCTTACCTTGACTTGATATCAAGATTTTCTTTATTTAGCAGTAAGACGTTGTAACTAAACCAACTCTAATATAATTAGATAATTAGAAAAGCATTATTTTTTTTATTGTCTTTAACTTTCTTCTCTTCTACAAAACGTTTTAATCAAAATTTTCACTTTATTTATTTTATTTACGTATAATATTCGATTTTCAAGTTTCAACGAGCAAAGCGCAGTAATCCGAAAATATAGGGAATAATAGACACGTACATTTATCAGACGTTTTCTATTATGTCTGCAGTTTTACGTTTTCAAAAAAAAAAAAAGGCTACTGACAACTTTGCACAAATCTTTAGCAAACAAACGATTTGAAATCTTTTAATTTTCAATGGAATTAAATGACGTCGTAGTCAAAGTACAAAACAAGTGTGTCCTAAACTCATGTTTCAACTTGCTCGTGTCAATTTTGGTGTTGCGAAATAAAATTATTTTTGATGGCACCGGTTCATGGGCGAAAGAGGAACAAAATTCAAAAGTTTTGTATATATTTATTCGTATACATTTACCATTCTCACAAAAACTTCGTTTATATATTATATATATATATATATATATATATATATATATATATATATATATATATAATATTAGTGGTCACTGTATATATATATATATGAAGAAATATAGTCTTAAGGTGGGCTATATTTATGGGATAAAGTGCTAGATATCAGAGATAGAGCGTGTGCAAATATAAAAGTGAACATTGAAGTCAACACTTAGAGGCGACAATCGTCAGCCCACGAGTACTGTTATTTTTCTCGGCTATTTATATATACGAGTCAGTGGTGCATTGTGGGTAGTCTATTTTGGCGGTTATTTATTAACGTAGTAAAAATTTGTTTATATCTCTTATTTAATATTTTGTTTTGGTTTGGGAAGATAATTAAAGCTATTTATTCAATTTTGGGGTTGATTGTTGTAGTTTATTCAGACTATTATTTTGGCAGGAACAGTTTTTAATTTGTTCATTACTTCATTAGTATTTATTTGGATTAATTAACATACCTTAGTTTTTGCTCGGCAATGGCAGCGAATACAGTCGGTGAATCGACAAAGTTGTTCCACTCGATGACAACGTCACATGCAGCAAGAACAGCAGAAGAAAGAAATTTGATTAGGTGCCATCTTCACAGAACCTTGGATGAATCAATTTTGACGTCACCAATACATACCACTCAAATTGAACTGTCTCTTTTGCTGACAACCATAATTTTGAAGGGTAAATCTGAGTACAAAGTTGTGGATAGAACAATGGAAAACCCACTACTGCCTTCCGACCAAACAGTCATAGCCATGCACGATTTAAATATATTAAAGATATGGGAGCTGCGGAGGGCTATGATCCCATATGTTATGAAGTAATATAAAACTGAAGAACGATCCTGAAAAGCAGCATCAAATTGTGACCTTGTGCCATATTAAGATAATTGTTATCCTTAACAGTTCGACAAGCAAGATCTTAGGATCATGTAATCTGTTCCTTAGTATTAAACACTTATCGTTATTTTCCTATTTCTTCGAGCACTTTTAATAACTTTAGCCTTTTATCGTTAAAGTTAACATGACACCCAATCTTTTTTCTCCTTGAATATGAACCCGTACCGTAATAAAGCGATTATATACACGTTCAATTCCTGAAGTACGACCTTTGAGGGTGGGAGATCAGGTCAGATGATCATAAAGGTACAGGGTTAGATTACACACTAATGACTCAACAAAAAACAAAACTTTTGACACATAAATTATGTATCTAACTTGTTCTTTTAAATATCGTAGACTGATATGAACACAAATACTAAATGTAAATTCAGTATTGGTCGGATTAAAAAGATGGAATGCCGGAATTGCATATTTAATTGTTACTTTGCGTAGACTTTTATAGAAACTATAAATTAAAAAAAAAAAGTTTTGATTAAAATCTAATTCTTCATCCGCCATTTTAGCATTGATTCATTTTTTTTCAACCCAGAAATTCAGGTGTTAAAGAAACAACGAGAAATTTCCGGTATTCTCCGTCGACAATGGTCATGCGCACATTTGCACAGACATGCGCACAAACTACTATTTGAATTTAGTTTTTGAAATTGGCTGTTGTTTTCTACTTTTATATGATTTTTTGTCTCACTTGTCGCCAATTTGAAGATAATGATTGCCTCTTCGTAAACATATGTTATTAGATTCTATTTGCTTGTAAGTGCTGTTTCGGTACAAGAGACATTACATGGGTGAGTGAGAGAGAAAGACAGGGGGAGAGAGAGAGAGAGAGAGAGTGCGTATGTGAGTGTGAGTGCGTGAGATAGAGAAGACAAAGAAGAAAGTGTAGGCAAGGGAAATAGAGAGAAAAAATATCAAGAGAAGTGTATTTGAGTTTGAAGAGTCAAATTGTAAGCGTGATTAGAATTGGGAGATTTGAGAAAAACGAAAGGAAAAAGACAGAGAGAGAGAAAGAAAGAAGAAAGAAAAAAGAAAGAAAAAGAAAGGCGGAAAAAAGGAAAAAGAAAGAAAGAAAAAGAAAGAAAAAGTTAAATGTGTCCGAGAGAGAGAGAGAGAGAGAGAGAGAGAGAGAGAGACAGACAGACAGACAGACAGACAGACAGACAATACAAGAATGAAGGCGACAACGAGAAGAAGAAAATAAATTTAAAAGGGTGAGATAGAGATAGAGATAGAGAGAGATAGAGAGAGAGAGATCGAGAGAGAGAGAAAGAAGTAAGTAAAGAAAAGTGTAAAAAGTCAGAATATTAGTACGCAGGAGTCAAAGAGAAGAATTTAAAACAGAGTGTGATAGAAGTATGAAGAGAGAGGAAGGAAGAGAGGTAAGGCGA